CTGCCCAGAACCTTTAATCCATCATCTTAAAATTAAATAAAGAACAAAAATACCATTTAATTCTTTCACTCTTCTCTCCCTTTCTCTTACTTTTATTTGTATCCCTCTTCTCTTAAGAAATACATATAAAAGTGCCCCCCCATATCTTGTGTCCCTGCTGTCACTATAGAGACCCAGGCTCACATCCAGTTACATCATACTACAGGTTGTAAGGGAGCTACAGGTATAATTAAGGTTCATGCAGTTTGGGAAAAATCTACAAGCAAGTTTTACATCATTGAAACCTTAACTACATGAGCACAGACTACAGTATTAAATTGTTTGGGATGATCTGTGGCCTTTTTTGGCCCAATTGGGACAATGACTCTCTTAAGGATCAACCCATGCATCATGCAGTGCTTACATAGGCTACAGGAGTGTTACAGTTTCTTCACAACACCCTGTAAACATGTTTACAAGCCTGACATCATCTCCTTGACACCTGTAACCAAGCTCTACAGGTGCTACAGATGATCAAAAGCTCCCATAGGCTTAGTAGGAGAGTTGTGGCAACTAGAGAGACTCCTGAGTTTGCCTCCAGAGGCCCAGAATGGTTATTTAAGAGCCCCTTCTCCCCCCTTAACTTTGATTCCCCATCTTCATCATTACATACCAGCATAAACCGTCACCAACAACCAGTTTCAACCTGCCTTTTGGCCCTGTTTCTGCTGTTTGTGATCTGAATTTCACCCTTCCAACTCAACACCTGTTCCCCAGCACTCTTCCACCACCTCTCCACCAACTTTATGAGCGCCTCAAGAACAGTTCCCCCTCCTGAAGCATCCCTTGGCCTAGAGATAAGTATCAGTAAGTGTTATCTCTTTGTATCTTCAGTTGTAGAATTTTTCTGGGTTTACTCCTTTATTATAAAGGACCAGAACTTCAGTACCACCTCTGCAACTCAGGACCTGAAATAGAGGGCACAGTCAAAAACCCCTGTAACTCAGGCCCCTCTGTAAATAAAAACTATTAAGTTTTTATTTATTATTTTCTTTTACTACACAACCATCCCCACTTTTCACATGTTATCCCTGTTAAACACCCATTATGTATTTAGCCAATAAATCCGTATTTCTCATGGATTTATTTCTATTTTCATATTTTCACACATTTGATTTCTCTTTTTTCTCATCATCACATGCTTGTACGTACAAAAAATACATATAAGTAGCGGTGCTCTGATGGAAATACATCTTTCCCTTGGGGGAATTTTCATCTTTCATTTTTATCCATGGTCTCGCCTTAACAATCCCCACATGCACATATCCCTCTTTAACTTTGCACCTGGTGTAGCTAGCAGAGTTTCAGCTCTTGGCATCACTCAGGCTGACAGAGAGGGTTTCCTCTTGGTTGTTGAGAATGTAAACCCTCAACGGCCAAGAGTGTACCTCCCGGTTGTTGAGGGTATACACTCTCGACGGCCAAGAGGATTCCTCCCAGCCCTCGAGGGTTTACATCTTCAACAACCAAGAGGAAACCCTCTCGGTTGTTGAGGTGTACACCCTCAATGGCTGAGAGGTTTCACTTGGCCGTTGAGTGTACAGCCTTGACGGCCAAGAGGTTTCTTTTGGCCATTGAGGGTTATACCCATATGTAGCGCCCAAGAGAAATTCTCCCAGCCATTGAGAGAGCACTCTCCGTGGCCGGGAGGAATGCTCCTGGACGCTGGTTTTTTGTTTGATCAACAACCTTCCAAAACCACTTGGTTTTGGGACATCAACACCCAACCTCCGTGGTTTTTCTTTTTTTTTATTTAATTTTTTTTTTGGGAGCCAACTATTTGGGGAATTGACTCCCAATTTTTGGGGAAACCCAGGTTTGGGAGTTGACTCTCCAATTTTTGGGAGTCAGTTGACCAAGTGCCTAAAGTTTAGGTGGATTTTTGTTGATTTCAATTCATAAAAATATGGGCTTTGGTTAAAATGTAGATACTTGCAACTCAAAATTGGAATCAAAATATGTGTAAGATTTTCAGTTGGTCTTGGGTATTTTTTAGAGGATCTGGAGCCACACAATGTTGTTATGGTTACACATTAGGTTCTACTGATAGATTTTTTGAAGCAGGAAAAATAAGCAGTAGGCAGAAAGCTCAGGTCTGCTTCCAATAAAAATATTTGCTCTTCCACTTCAAGGAAGAATGTGTTAAATTGGGTGAGGTTGAAGTATTTATTTCTTGTCTAACCTAAGCCAAGACTTCCATTCTTTGATGATTTCCTGGTCCACGAAAAGCACGGCTGAAAGTAATGGAAAAGTGATTAAATAAAGTGATGGAACGTGTCCAGCAAGCCCTCGATTGAACTGTGAATAATCAATAGTAAACTCGAGTGCCGCACCAACGCTTTAATTCGGTTAAATGCCCATCAGCAATGCTCGACTAATCTTATTTCGGGAGCTTTTTATAAGTACACGTACCCACTCAGGGCGGATAAAGCGCTCAATCTGATGAGCAAAGGGTAGTGAATCCGTCGGTAAAAGCCGGTTGCTGTTCGGTGTCTCAAAACGAAGTACATAATCAAGCAGGCAACTGGATGATTTCAAAAAATAAAAGACATGTGTGAGCAAGTTGATCGATCACCAATGGCTGTGGAAAGAAAAAAAATGGACTTGACGCTCACTTCCGAGACCACTTGTTGGTACAAGATGGCAGAGAAGAATGAATGCCTTTTTACGACGCAGAAGCGGGTCGGGAGGATTGCAGGTAAACTGGTCGGCTAAAAGAGTCATGTCGTTGAGAAAAGAATTAGTATTCAACCTAGAAAAGAAAAGAAAAAACACTGGTGTTTTTGGGATTGGATGAAGTGATTCACCGTGTACGTATCGCCATCCCATAGAAGATTGGAGACTGAAAACCATGAAAAGACTTGGGAGGGCAGTTACCAGAGGTAAAAAGATAATCGACTTTTTCCAATGTAACTTCCATAATTTTTTTAATGTCCTAGAAGCGGATCGATTGGAGTGTAAACTTTGTCCTTCCTCATTGATGCTTTCGAGAGATTTAACAAGATGGATTTCACTTGAATAGCTGCCTTGACTCGCGTCACTGCAATTAGAGTCCACTGAGCCTTTCCTGCGGAAACCTCCACCATTCGGTTTCTTAGGCGTTTGATCTGGGACGTCGATTTTTGAAAACCGAAGGAACTCTATCAGCATCCTCATGACTTCGATAACGAAAGCCAGGCCGAATCTAAATCAAGTAGCGCAGTGAGTAAATTAGCTCTCTTCCTCCAATGCGAGTGGTTCAAGGACGAATATATGATTGTTGAAGGATGCTTTTTTTTTTCTCTACATACCCGGGGATAGCTGTCCACAGGTAAGCCAATAAAACAGCATTGATTTGGCAAATGGTGTGTGGAGGACCGACTCTGACTAACTCGGAGAAGAGAAGATTATTCAACCGAAGCGTTGTGGAAGAAGCAGTGAAAAAAAGTTCATCCTTACCATTTGCATGGACGAGTGGTCGTGACAGTGAATACTCCCTGATTGGATTGTAATTTTTGTAAAGGGTATCAAGCCGGCATAAGAATCGCTTCGATAGGACATTTTCAATGTATGAATATAATTCATAAGGTCAATGGGGTATCTTACCAAACGTTTCCAAAGAAAGGTAAGAGTGCAATCCAAGCTGTGAACCAAGAGGTAATCAAGAATCCAATGATGACTGGATGCTTTTTGTGACCCGACCGATGCAATGCTAGCAGGAAAGCGCCAATGAAGATGATGGAGACGATCTAAGAGCGATGAAAAAGTTTAATGAATAAGGCTATTAACTTCTCTTCCAGCGGAAGCTGAGTGGGGGCACTTTGGGAGGCCAGTGGTGCCTTGTGAGTATAATGTGACTTACACCTATTGCCCAGAAAACCTTCTGAAGGAATAGAATTAGTGGTGAGCCACCAGGCATTTTTTTGTTGTTTCGAAAAAGATGATCACTGATTTGAAGTTCAATTCTTTTCAAGATAAGTCTGCAGTCAGAAGAATGAACTATCGAACCAACGATATTGCTTGTGAGGGAAATCCAGACAATTCTAAGGCCAAAGCAATGAATGAAACTCTGGGGTGTTAAAAATAGTGGGGTCGTGTGCGTCGAGTCGGCTTGAAATCCGATGAGATGCCTGGAAGGAAGAAGTATACGAGTGACCTGGTCTTAGAACATGAGCCTCTGACACGGGACGCTTGCCATAAGAGGACAAGGAGGTAGACAATGGTCGCCCTTGAAAAGTTGCTCCCTCGTATTATGTGGTACTTTAGCCGCATAGCGATTCTCAAAGCTTAATAATCGGCCTAACCGACCGATATCTCTGCAATGAAGTTCATCACGCCCCACAATGAAAAAAACCCTTACATTCAGCCGGGTTTCTAAGTTACCAACGACCACAATTGACATTAAGACGTCAAATGAATCAATTCGATACACCCCGCCGGCATTGAACGTTGAACTCAAGAAACGCTGGCTCTGGCTCAAAAGCCGAAACCTGCCGAAACCTAGACTGACTACACAATCCGAACGGTATTTGATGCTCAATTTAGCAATTTCATCAACATCAATTAAAAGATCAAATTTTTACATCCTGCAAGTATCTTCTCTGGACAACTAATCACCTCATATCGACAGGTAAGCAACAGTTTGATAGTATTGGAAAGGCGCATTTGACTACTCAAGTTGAAGTGATGTATTCCTTGTACGATGTATGTGTGGAGTCAATCCTCCTTTTTGAATGAGAGGGTAAATGTGGTTTGGTCTAGTTTGGCATAACCAATGATTTGAACCCTCCCCACAAGGCTTGAGGAAGATTCTATTGCTGTGTTGTATCATTCAACATAGATCCCCTGGGAGATGTTCATACAAAACTCCCTCAATTTTGAATGCACAGCAAGTTTTCTGCATGGCCAAAGTGCAAAATTGGATTGAAAATGATTGTACTATCATTATCCCAGCTCATGTGGAAAACTGCTTGTTTCTGCTTGATAATTTAAAGCTGAAGATTGAAATTTCATGATTGGATTGTGTGGTTAAAAAAAAATCTGTTATCCTTTTGTATGCAGTGCTGCACACTCAATTCAAACCTTCTATTAGAATTCATTGATTAACCAAGATTTCTTTGATTAATTTTTCAATCATGGCGTGCATGAGAGTTCATAGACTTGTAAATAGAAAAAACATATGGAGCTGATGTCTAATGGTGCATAACTGTGATCAGATCATTTTCATGAGATGTATGATAAAATGATATTGAGCTGTACTGAATCATTGGAATATGGAGGTATTTCCCTTGTAACGTCTTTAAATGCTTGTAATATAGAACCAACTTTTTCATACCACTTGCTTATGTCCAGTCCATCATCCTCAATTCTTGTTTCAATCCCTAAGTGGCCATCCTCTTGACTTCCTGTTTTGATATTTGGCACATGACCAGCATTAGACTTTGACTGGGCATCAATCATACTTCCTCTTTTGATTGAATGAAAATTTGTTTCACTATTTGCTTCAGTACTTGGATTTTCATCACCTTCATTTCCTGTTTTAATACTCTTAGAAACATCATCTTTAAATTGTTGAATCAAATAATTCATGTACTTGATCTTCTTTTTGAGGACAAGATCTTTGGTTCCTATGCTCTTGACAACTTCATCTATTAATGGTTTATAATTGCTATTGAGAAAATGTACCATGTAATAAATGATGAGAAGATTATATTCCTGAAATTCCCCTTCCAATATATTTGAAGGCCGATCAAAGTATCTGAAAATTTCTTCCATTGTGATAAAAGCTTTGTGATTTCTGATTTGCTTCATTTTTTCATCAGGAGTACGCCTAAAAGTTGAGTATAGCTCATTTGCACCAGTGAGAAAATCATCTTCACAAAAACTTTCATGAATCATGAAAAATTCTGTCCAGCCTTTAGTCTTGCTGTTAATTTCTTTTTCTTTAACAAATTTTGTCATAATGGATTTTATTAAGTGGTAAGTAATAATCTGCTTATGTTGATTGGTGAGTTTTTCTACATTGCATAAAAAGGTAAACATCAGTTCAAGAAACTAAAAACAATCATTTTTCAATTCAGCAATGAATTAAGTAATCATACCTTTAATTGGCTCATGAAAGGGTTCAAAGAAATCATGTGTTTCTAACAACTCTGGTCCTGGGACAAATCCCTGAGGCTTCCACACAAGTATTTCCATTAGGTTTTTAAATTTCAATGATTGGGTAATGTAAAATATGATCGTTGGCACAAGAGTTTTTGGTTCAAGAATTTCAATTTGTGAGTTGAAGCTAGGTGGCTGTAAGTCGTGCTTCCTGATATAATTAGCCAAACGAAACATGACCTCCACATAGTTTAGCAAAGCCGATTTCATGAGTACGTCTTCATGATATGTCAATTTACGTTCTTGACTTGAGTAGTAGTCCAGCCATGTAACCGTGTAGTACCATTCTCGAATCAAGGGGCGATCGGAAGTCTTCCACTCGCCAAAGCACTTGGGCAACCCCACAGGCATTAATGATTCCAATCCCATCCACAATTCATCCAAAGGAAAAACCATGGATTGAATCATACGAAGTGGTTCTCCATGCAATTCCGATTCTTTGCTTGTAGTTTCCATCTTCGGACTGCCTCCCTGATGGGTATTATGACTGCCAAGCGGTTGCAGAGTCTGGGAACTCTCAGTTATAATTTCGTCGCTGCTCTTTGAAATTCGGGGTTCTTTTTTATTGAAAGGGAGGATCACTCCGAGACACTTGACTAATGAAACAATCAGGTTGGGAGCTGATGGGGTCCTCGCTACTTCGCAGGGGGAAGCCCCGGTTAAACTTGGGCTTGGAGCTTGAATAGTAGAATGGCGTGTGCCGAGAGTCAATGGTGAATCTATACAGAGGTCATACAATCTTGCCTGTCCCAAAATCTTCAAGTGTTTATAAAAATCTTCCACTTTGCCCCCAAGAAAGTCGTCTCGCTTTTTGAGATCTTTGATCAGGGAAATAATATGTTTGTTGTCGGCTTTCATTGCGTCGATCTGGGCTGTCAAAGGAAAAAAGATCAAGTCTGAGTATCATGATTCAGTCTAGGATAACAAGATACAAGGAGACTTGCCTTGATTTTTCAAAATCGTGGGGCGTAGCCTCTCTAACTTTACCGGCTCTATCTGATCTGTTCCAGTGGGAGCAAGAGCTGGACGTAATTTGGAGGGCTCACAGCTGTCCAAGGATTCAGTATTCAAGTTAAAGTAAGATTCGGTTCTTGATCTCGTGGATTTCGGCGGTACATATCTCACTGGGTTCAACAGTGCCATTCGATAGATGCTCAAAGTATGTAGACCAACACAAACCAGCAAATTTGATGTAATCCTCATATTGGTAGAGAACAAAGCTGGATGGGGTTATTTTTGCTATCTATCCAATGCAACTATCGATGCATAACAACCTGGTGAGTGCACTGAAAGATATTAAAAGCGGATGGTCTGAAGTAATATGGGGGCTTGTTTTACATAAGGTCACTGAGTCGAGGCGCATGTTAATCACTTCGGCTTCAACCAGCACCTGTTGGGTTCCAGCGACTCCGCGAAGCGTGTTTCCAGATATCAATTATGATCAAGGGACACAGACACAATCATAAACTTTCCTCCACTGGAAGTACTTCTCAGGCCATCCATACCAAAAACGCTTACCCTCACTTCGAGACAAGTGATGGCGGGCCAGTTGTGAAAGATTCACGCATCTCAAAGAGTCAAAAGCTAATGGTTAGTCCAGTCCCAAATATACTGCTAATGGCATATCATCTGTGTTCAATCCACTGCTTCCCCTGTCTAAAAAAACCTGCGTGTCATGATGACCATGATCAGGTCCAATCAAAACAGATGAGTTTGTCAAGCTTTTGTTTGACAATAATGTAAACAAAACTCACTGCATTCCTCCATGATCCACTGCACTGTCGTCGTCATAACTCTTGTCTGTATTATAGCTGAGGTTGTGTGAAGTTCTCAATCTACTTTATACTTCACATCTGGATCCAGTAGCTTTTTTTTGGTAGAAACTGGCCCTTTGTGGATTGTTTTCTTGTCTTTGACTACTTAGATTGTACAAGTTATTTTTTCTGCTTCATGAGCTGTTCAACTAGATGTTTATATATATATTGATATGATAAAATAACATTTCTAGAAAGTATAGAAACATACAAAATAAATAAACAAACTCGTATGTTTCGTTTCACAAATCCAAAATAGAGGTATAATTTGTGGATATCATCAGAAAAAAAAATATTTGGGAATAGGGAAGCTAAGAAACAACAGATAGGCAACTCAATGTTTTTCAGAGAGAGGGTCTGAGGATGCAAGGATAGATGAAGCAGGCAAGACCTTAAGAGATATGCGAGGGAAATGAAAGCCGATTCGATAGGGTTTGATATCAGGAAAATGTTCGCCATCAGCGAACTGAGGAGCTTTGCGGTTGCCTGGCTGCAAGTTACCTTTGAAGGAGCACAGACCACAGCGGCCTTTGATCCCAAGTTCGGTGCGTTTCCACTCGGAGTGATCGACGATTGGAGGGTTGAGGTGCAAGAGATCGGGCTCCAGAGGCTGGTGATCGTCATCATCGACGGTCTGCAATGGAGGCTGAAGGAGAGTGAGGTCGAGGATCGGCAGTTTCCCTAAATCCACGGGAATGTTCAGAGGCGCGAGGTGGCGATGGATGGTCATATTGAAGAACGGCGCGTCGAAGAATTCCGGGTCGAAGTACCACCCTGTGGAGCCGCTGGACCGGGTGAATCTGAAGGACTTCAGCCCGTAGATCTTCACATTTAGCTTGTTCGTCGTGCCCTCTACTGGTGTGAATTCAAACCGGGCAAGCTTCTTGGGAATGTTCCAATGATGTCGGCCTATGTATACAATCACAATTGGGGATGAGATTCATCCAGCCCGTCGTTCAAATCAACTCTTTCCTTCCTCTTCTTCTTGATAGAATTTTTGCGGCCAACAAAAAAAAATAACTTATGGTTTGAAAACTGACCATTGAGAACAGAGCCAAGCGTAGAAACGTAAATTTGTGTGATCCGGAATACTGGGGTCCGGTTTAGAGATTCCTCTGGAGGCTTGAAGACGCCAGGAATGAGCAACAATTCGTCATATGCACCTACAATACAGCAATCTTTGATCAATGCCCACTTCACTTACTCTTCATGAGGAAATTCAGAAATTCAAATCGATGGGGGACTGACCAACAGGTGAACTATGATATCTTATGATTTGCACACTACCAAAACCACCACGGAAGTCAGGAGTGGGGGCGGGGGATAAGAGTCCCAAGGAATCTGAATGGGTCCAATCGGCTGAAGGCTTGGTTTTCTTTTTCCGCGACTCTTGCTTGATTCGCTCGACGATTCTCTTGCGGACGGGGCCTAAGATTGATAGGATTATCCACCATCCTTCGCCTTCAAGATACCAAGGCGGTGGCCTCAGACTGATTGAAATATCGTCTTTTTCGCTCTTCGCTAACATCGGTCGAGTCATCTCTTTCGTCTCCATCTGCTCTGGAATCATCATCGACGTTCCAGAATTTATCCCAATGGATTCGCAATCAAACTCTTTTTGATGATGGTCGGATTCGGGAAAGAAAGGAAGAGAATCTTTGGGGTTGCGAATCGGATAACGGAAGAAAGAAACTTGTTCCTCCCAAGAAGAGTTTGAGGATTATTTGAATGATCCATGAATACATATATAAACAAATCAATAACTCCAGGGATTTTTAGAATGAACGGTGTGATGAAGATTGAACGAGAATTTATCCGGCGCTTTTTTGCTGCTATACACATTCCATTCACACAATTACAAACACTCATTAAATGAATCTGACAATGTCTCTTTTTGATGTTGTGTAGAATTCAATGGACCGAATATAATTTTATCCGCTTCTTATAAAGTTCCTTCCACACATATTTAAATATGTGTAAAGCGGTAGCTTTCGAAAGGTTGTAATACAGAGACTTGATGATGGCCCATATTACCCCAACTACACATAAAGAGTTTTCGAACTTTTTAGTGCATTGGTTCTTTGAATTTAGACGTAGATTACGCAGTTTATAAGTAAAGTAATACATCATTTATAAAGACTCCATTCAAATCCAACAGAAAAAGAGGAATACCACCGGGTTATTCTTATTGCCACTCCCTCAGCCCTCCTCGCACTTCAAAGAAATCAACAACAAGAACTCATACATACAGCTCTCTCTGCCTGAGCGACAGCAAGATTAAACAAGTATGCATGGTTGTAAAACAATGCTCACAATCAAGGCTGAATGTGCTCAGGTTTTCTTTTATTGCAGAAGGAACCGAGTTCTGACAATTCTGCGAAGAATTTTGGTAGTTGGAAATTTCTTCTTGGTGAGCGTCAATTATGTAATACCCGAAAGGCTCACGTTTGTTGTGAGTTCCCTTCAAGAGACTCGTGCAGGGCTGAAAAAAAAATATTTGCCCATATTTGAAGAAATCATGTCACCAGAAATCGTACTCAGATTTGATATAGAAAAGGGGTGAACTGGTGGTTGTTTCAGTTTGTTTGTTGTTTGATGCGAAGGCTCAGAAAAATCAATTGAAAGCTGTGGTGAGCCGTGGTGAGTTCTTGAAGTCCGATACCCAACTAGGGCCCAGCAGGGTTCAAGCAAAACCGGTCCTGATACCAATTTATGTTGTTTGTAAATATGTAAACCGAATGGTGTGTGACCCGAAACTGAAAATTGAATGGATGAGGGATGTGATCTAAATATTTGTGTGGGGTGATCTTTTGAGGGGTGGAAGACATCCATCCATATGGCCAACAACATAAATATTTCGTAAGGCATTGGGAATTTGGGGCACACACCAAAGAGAGAGAGAGAGAGAGAGAGAATTTGCATGCATGGGTGTGGTGCAGGATGTCCGAGTCGGAGCCTGCAGTCTTCTTATGTACCGGCCCCCAAGTTAAACAGACTGTGAGTGTTCTGAGATTGTTTAAAGAGAAGTTTGCTTGATCAGCATCAACATCAACATTGGTATCAAAAGCCCTAACTTAAGAACTCTCGAGAGTACACTCATCATCTTACGCCGTTTGGTCTTTTCTTTTGGATATGTATTGTGTGTCAAAATAAATGTTTTTTCTTCTTGCTTACCTGATCTCCCACTATCAAATCATAAGATCAACCAGTCGCTGGATTTGCTTTCATGAGGCTTATTTTTTGTATGTAACTTCAAGTCAAATGATGATGGAGATGATGCGGATATGGATCAAGAAGCAGATGAGAGAGTGGCCGGATCCAGGTCCCGAGGATCTGGTACTTTTAAATACATCCTTTCAACAAGTAGTCGAGGGACCCCTCCTCATACAACAAAATCCTTAGTCACTCCTGGCCATGGTGGATCTGGGGCCCAAGAGGAAGAGGGTGTATGTTGCAAGATGAATGATGAAGGTTGCTAGTCATCCAAATTTAACACTCAACTGGCTCATTTTTGAGTAGGAGAGGGAGGATAAAGCGCTCCTCCATGAGGTGTCCCTCCTCCCCCATTGACCCCGTTGAGCTATCTATCAGCACATCAATATATGATCACACCTTCTCTGATATTTATACAACCAGTATAAGAGTATTTCTAGAAATCTAATAGCAAGAATGGTTCACATTATCAGATTGAACCAAAGAGAAAATACTACAACCAATATAAGTTAAAAAAAAAAACAGAAGGAAACAAAAGCAAAAAAAAGGGACGGTTAAAATTCAGTAGAACATAAGCTTTTGACGTCGTTTTTGAATTTGGAGCCCAGAGGGGTCGAATGATTAGAATGTTTAACGGATTTCTTGGTATGATGTTTATTGAAATTGGAGGCTTTGAGACGCTGCATCTTCTTGATGACGATATTCTTGATTTCTTCCTCGTCCAAGTCGACCTTCTGAAGATGATGCGCATTTTTGTTGCTCTTCTTTTTCTGCTTGGGTTTGGTAGTCGATCTATTTGTTGAGTGGTTGTCTGATCCATCGTCGCTTTGTGTTCCCTCTTCTTCTTCTTCTTCTTCTTCTGAGAGTTCTGTGGGTTGAGTACGGTCTGGGTTTTCCGCTGTCTTCGTCGACTCCAATGCTTTAGTTTCGGTCTTGTGATGATCTTCATTCCGTTGCGGATCAGGAATCCGATAGCTATTGTCGAGTTGATCCTCTTCATCTCCAGCACTATCATAATCAACATCACTACCATCTTCATCTTCGTCATCATCAGTCTCCGCAGCTTCACAGCCAACCCCAAAGACCTCCATGTATTCTTCCAGTTTCCTGCTTTCGCCCTTCCCGAACCCACTGGCCTCGACCTCGACGTCTAGATTCATCTGGCGGGTGCCTTCGCGGACAATCGAATTGAACTTGGGATATAGCGTGGATTGGTATCTGAATCGTTTCAGGAAAAAGGAGCGGATACATTGGACATCTCTGTTGAAATAACTATGATTTTGTCAAAAGACAAATAAAAAGAAAGATTACATTAATTCAGTTTCTTGAAATGGGTAAGGGAGAAGAAAGGAAAGAGAAAAATATGAAGGACGAACTATTCAGCATTCTCGTGTTCGGTAGAGACCATTTGAGGGAAATCGATCAAGATAGGGACAGCTTGACCGGGCTTAGAAGCGGTATCGACGAGGATGTTGAATTCGTTGAAGTCGCCATGGATGAGCCCCACTCTGGCCAACTTGACGATCAGGTCCATGAGCTCCGAGTACAGCTTCCCCGGCTCGGCCAGCTCGTGGATCTGTCTGAGTGGAAACGCATCTATCAAGCTCATCACTAAGCAGTGTCTCGATTGGTCAATCGGCTCCGGGACTGGAAAACCATGCTCGTGTAAAACCTTGGATCAATAGCCAAGTAGAAAAAAACAACAAATCAATTTGATCAATCTCCCTGTGAATATCTGTCTTTCTCATTGGAATATTAAGAATGAGAACTTACTTTCATGAATGCGAATTCTTTTTGGGCGGCCAATCGACTCATATACATCCAACTAGCATTCCTGCGTTTCTGGAGATAATCGCGCTTCGATTTGATGGCCCGAAAGCTGATCCGTCCGAGCCGATGGATCTTCAACACCCGTTGTTGTTCGTCTTCTCCTCCAGCGACCACATAGACGTCGGCTTCCTTCCCGACCCCGATCTGGTTACCGATACTCGTGACCGTCGTCCGCTTCGAGAAGGTCTTCATCGCCAGAAAGTCGTATCCTCCATACGTCAATCGATAGCCATCATCTGTGATCGAATTCGCAGTCAACTTTTACATTTTTTTAGATAAAATTTCAAGGAGAGATAGTGGCGAACATTTTGAATTAGCTTCTCGTTTGACTAGTCCTCGTTTGGCCAATTCGCTGATACATTTATTCACTCCACCCGACCGAAGACCGGCAAGGTTGGCGATCAAGGCAGTCGGGACGATTTCGTGGTTCTTGGACCCCATTTCGACAGCCGTAAGGACCCTGAAGGTGTCGCTTGAGAGGTATCTTATATCACTGGCGTCTAACTTCATCTTCTTCCTATCTTGAGTATCCTCTGGCTCTTCCCTCTGTCTCTCTCTCTCTGTTGCCTTTCGAAGTTCGAGTTTGTTTGTTCGTTTTCTTTCTTGTCGTCTGATTATTTTTTTTTTTCTTTCCTCTTGTTTGAGATTGATCGGTGGAAATATTTTGACTATAACAAATGCAGTTCTTTGATTGTTGTTTGAAGGTCGGGATGGTTTGGAGGGGGCCCCGGGGGGGCGGGGTTATGGATATTCAATATGCCAGGGAATATGCAATATGCATGAAACTGATTATGTAATAGCGTCGGGGTCCCCCGTCCCGGGCCGTCTGGTCCTCTGGAACGAGATCTCTCCTTCGGGGAGTCGCATGACCGCTTCGCGGCACCCAGCCACCGAGAAGGATCGGGCCGACGGCCTATGTAGTGTCAGCCTCCGACCCGCTCATCTCCCCCGGCCCCAGCTATGCACCTCAGTTCAATTGATCGGGCGGATTGACAGTGCTCAGCTGGTGTATGGGGAGCTTCGACCACGGTGTTCTATAAATTTCAAATGTTGTGTCAAGTATAAGCACTGCCACCATCATGGGACATCGATCCCAGTCTTTTTGGGGTGCAAGACTCGCTCACAAGCCAGCTATGCTGCACTGGCACAAATAGGCAAGGGATTCCTCCGTATCTCTCGGCAAGGTTACATTGCAAGCCGCCACGAATCAAACATCCAGGTACCGTTATTCTCGCTCTTTCTTTGCTCGGACAACACCCATGAAGGAACCGGTGTTCATGGAGTCTGACTGCCGATAATGTTTATAGGTCATAGATAGCCTCTCCGTGTTCAGCTTACTATCGTCTTGTTCATCGTCCGTCGTAAGCTCGCTTTCCAGCCTCTCTGATGATAACGGCTTGTCCTTTGCAACACACTAACTGTCTTTTTCCATCTCACATGCCACTGATAGTGCATCCGTGTCCATGAGATGTGGATTGATATAGCTGTGGTTGTGACCATGTTGGCCACTACAATCGCTGGCGCTCATGGGCATCCGTCTCCGGCCCACCCCCCCATTGCCTGCAACTAGGGTTGACGGCGCCATAGGGTGGGGCGCGCCAAAGTGCGCCCGCCCCCCGTGCGCGCACCCGGGTCCCCGAAGATCCTGAAAATGGGGGTCGGCGCGCACCTGACTTTTAACCCTACTTTTGAAGGACCCCTGAGATATCTTGGACCGGATCCAACCGGATCACACCGGATTCAATTTTTTATGGATTTGAAATTTCTGATCTCAGTCTCTCACCACTTGGAATTATGCAGTTATGGCCTCTGACACAAGCACTATGCATTGTAACAGAGATCTTGCCTCTACAAAAAAAAAAAAGAAAAAAAAAAACTTTGAACCTTGTTTTTTGAGCTTTTTTGACGGCGCCCAGCTCGCCGGGGCGCCGCCAGCCAAAGGCGCCATGCTCTGGCGGTTTGACAGGCGCCCCTAGGCGCGCACCTCTTGAAAAGGTGGCGCCGTCAACCCTACCTGCAACCCTCCAGGTTCTCTTTTTTGCCTTCCGGGATGCATCTGCTGAGTAGAAGGCGATTCAGTACATTATAAGATGTAAGCGCTCCCTTTTCCAAACTCCACTATAAAGAAGTTTTTTGCATCTAATTCTCTCTTCTCACAGCCCTCGGCTAACAAAATCCCCGAGCGTCTAAACCAGAACCTGGATATTCCACTGGACGCCCCAAGAAAGATAATGTCCATGAATGCCTGCATTTCGGTTCCCTCATCATCAAGTTTCTCGTTTCTGTTCTCACTCTTCCCAATCTAAGCTGTACATAGTCTTAAGATTTCCAGGATCCTGGTCATCGTGGATCCATTGACTGTGTACATCTCGACCTCTTGTTTATCTACGCTTGAGAAATCCATGACTGGCCACATCAGGTACATACCTGATCAAAGCCTCAAAAATTGGTAGTAGGAGCCTGTCTAGGCTGAAGTCCATTCACTGGCATAGATCTATGTAATGAGCTCGCTGCTCCGAACCACTAAGCTGGAGACAAATTTGCAAGTCTTTTGTTTCTTGCATTAGATCTACATAATAAGCTGCAGCTATCTTGATCAATGAATGGATAATTTAACCGGTGTAATCCAGAACTTTGAGAAAGTTTACATACGTCAAAACTTGACATTTGCCTTACACCTTGCTAGCCTAGTTGGATAAGGAAACCTCCACCCAAACCATTTGACACCAAAAAAAAATATCATTGGTTCGAAACCCATCTGTTGAATCAGATTGCCATTGGTTAATACATGCGCGCAGTCACAGTCTTGACCGTGGTGGTCTGCTGCCTCATTGGCCTCGGTCATGCGCGTCCAATGCAGCAAGCGCCACACACCCTGAGGATGATCAAGCCAAGGACATCATCGGTTGTGGTCGATATTCCTCCTGAAATCTATGATCCCCTACCCCCGGCCAAGACTCGTCCCGTCAAGGGTTACGACTGGGTTCTAAGCAAGTGGGCTCGCCAACAGATCGGCAAACTCGCTTCATATCCATGGTCCCCATTTGCAGTGAACACGTTCTCATTACCACTCAAATCAAGAGATGGGGCAAGGACATCATGTTGGGACTCCATCTTAGGCCGCTGGCTCCGGAGGCGCAAAAATTGGCTCTCACTTACCCCACTGCGCTCCTGGCTGGACGCGAGCTGGCATAGAAATTAGGGGATAGATGCCATATTCCAGGTATCAACCCCACATGTGCACAAAAACTTTTTTTTTTTTGAGTAGTAGCTTCAGGGGTGGCAGTCTGCTCTAAGGAAATGATGCAAAAACTTGACTGTTTTGTTGGTATTGGGGGAGGGGTCAATTTCTGTCAGTGTATTATAATGTGATTGTGGAAGGCTTACCTATTTACCACATCCCCTGTTCAAATTGACAATCACCTGCAAATCTGCAAGACAGCATGGTCCAGGACTCCAGAACATCACAGCTTCATCAATATTAATGTATCAAGCATTCAAGCCCTTCCTTTCCCATGCAGACCTGTCATTACTTTTACTTTCACCATGAGGAGCAATCTTACATCATGTTTGCAACAAGGAATCTTGAGAGCAGAATAATCTCAAGCAATCAAGGCTTGAGTAGAAAATCACCTCAAATCAATGATCCATTTTAACACGTGGTCTAAGGTCAACCTTAAAATAGGAGTATAAAATTTGGATATTACTTTTTTTTTTTAAAGAAGAAATGGGATGTGGTTCAAGAAAAAAGTGGCACATAATTCTAAGCCTATTTTTTAAGGAGAAGAAGCATGTTTATTTTTTCAAGAAGAAGAATGATCATAACCCATCTGAAGTTTTCCTTCTCAAAACCAGTGAATTGACTTGATCAGGAAAATGTTTGTTAAGTATCAAACTTAAGGCAGGAGCAATGGTACAAGGGACGCAAGAATGGCAAGGATGAAAAAGAAGAAAGAGAACAAGACAATAAGAGAACTGTTTTGACAGTATGAGAATCGGCGGAGAGTTGAAAGGAAGGGTACGTGAATTGTCAAACAGTCGCAGAAGTGTGTGGATCAATGGAAAGTCAAATGGAAGGGTACGTGATTTGTTGGATAGTTGAATAGAAAGGATGTGACCGGATGAGAAGTATAGGTCAGGAGTTTTAGTAAAGAAGAGTAGTGGTAGAATATGATAGAGGTTGTTCAAAGTAAGTGATGAGAGAACAACAGAAATGGGACCAGTTGTCAGCCTCTGGGTAACTAACCTGAGTTTTTAGTAGTAAAAGGTTGTTACTATGAGTTGACTGAAGTGTTTGAGCGTGGTGAGTGTTAGTTAGTGGGTGATTAATACCAGTCCTGTAAAGAGGAGGTTTCACTCTATCAGTATGGTCTTTACTGAGAGGCTTGCTATCAACAGCACATCCGTATCAATACAGGGTATTAATAGGCATCCAGGGTACTAAGGACTCACCTGGGATTGATTTGTTATTCCAAAGGGAATGGGCTAACAATACCTATTAAGCTTTAACAAAATTAGTTGAAGATTGATAGGTATTGTTGATGGGAATATTCAGCAAGGCTATGAATACTGTGGATAAGTTGAGTAAGAGTACTGAAGCTTAAGAACAATATAGGTAGACTAGATTTATGTTGGTTACGTGTACTGTATCAATATAAATGTTAACTGGTTTAACTGGTGTCTGAATATTCTGGGGATTAATCAGTGGAAGTGGCACGGATTATAAGTTCCAGAATATTACATGGGGAAATGAAGAAGTGCTCTGAATCACGGTAGAGATGGGCGCATTGAATCCGGATATCCGCTTACGATTTCAGCGGAAACACACATCCGCATCCGCCGGCGGATACCCGCGGATACCCGCCCTCTGAATGGGCGGCAAGGCTCTTCCATTAGTGTTTGTTTTTAAAAAAAAGAAAAAAAAAGAAAAAAAAACCAGCCCCCTCGGCCTAAAGGGGCAGAGGCCACACCGTTGTGGAACTCCTATCGTGCCAGGCGGTAGGCAGTTGGTTGAAGGGAAAGTGCTTTGAGGGCTGCCTTCAAGTGGGGTCCGGATGAATTGAGCTGTGATCTGAACAAAAAAGTGTTGGGGTTGGCTGGTTTTCTGAGAGGAGACAACAGAAGTGGAGTTCTGTGGCGGTTGTTGAGCTTGAGGATCGGTGTGTATGAGGATCAGATGGATTAATAATGAAAAGATCAATCAGAATTGATGGGTCTATCTTGGATCAGATCAGAGTGCCATGCCTCCCCATCATCTCAGTTCAAACTGAACTTTGACTCTGGGGAGTGACATGTCACAGACATGTCATCACATCCCTAACTACAACACAACTCAACCAAAAAACAAAAACAAGACCACACTACACAACACTACACAACACAACACACACAACACAACACACACAACAGAACACACAACAGAACAGAACAAAACAGAGCAAAACAAAACAAAACAAAATAATCAAGAGTGAAATAAACCAACATCCTGAGATGTCTTAGGACCAAGAAAATTAAACAAGACTGTCTACTGAGTAGGTGATTTGAAAAAGATAAGTAAGAATAATAAAATGATGAAAAATAAAATCAAGATGAATGAAAAATAATATGAAGATAAAATAATCAGAGGAAGTAGAATAAAATAATGAAATGAGAAAACCATTGGACTGAGTGGGGATTTGAGGTGATAATATTGAAATCTTGAGTCTTGAGGATATTGAAGAGTTGAAAGTTGAAATTTGAAATTTGAGCTTGAGGGGGCCTGTACCGTTTAGAACACCACACCGTCGGGAGGAACCCCTCCCGGCGAGCGTCTACAGGCCAGCTCGCTGGGAG